TGGAGTATGAACTAGTTAATGTCTGAGGACAACAGCCCTCTCCCTTCTATGTCAGTCCGCACTGTACTACATGAAGCTTTTGCTCTGCGTGGGTGTTGCTTTTGAAAAACAAACTTGTAGGAGCTGGGGAGATGGATGGGTCAGTGGTTAGAGCACTGGCTGCTCTTACAGAGGACCCGAGTTCTATTCACAGCACCCACATGGCAGCTCACAACCATCTGCAACACTGGTCCCAGAAGATCTGACATCCTCCTCTGGCTTCCTTGGGTACCAGGCACACACATGGTACACAGACAGACATGCAGGCAAAGCACTCATATAAAATAAATAAAACTTTTTTAATTATTTTGTATTTAGTTTTTAAAAGCAGGAGAGATTTGGGGGATGCTCAGAGCTGGGCATTGGTGATCTGGTTCTTAAAGAGACACAGAAACCCATTGAAAATCCTGACACCCTATGAAATGTTAGAAGTCCCACTAGAAAAATAGTCTGCCTCCTTGTGCTTTCAAAGGAGAACCCGAGGCTGCTACGTTTATTTAGCACCTAGTGATGGTCTGGGAACTAATTATCATCTCATTTTTCTGATGGCGACTTCACTTTGAAATATGAGAAGGAAGGAAGGGGAAGGGAGAGGGGGAATAGAGGAGCAGAGAGAGAGTTTGAATGTGTTGCTGATCTCAGTCAGGCTGTGAAGGACTCCATCATTGGCCCTATCTAGAGGCCTTCCTTCCTTGATGATGGGGACAGCTGGTACCAACAATCTTAAGCACTCCAGACAGAATATGTTGGTACAAATTTTAAACCCAGCACTTGGGAGGCAGAGACGGGCAGATCTCTGAGTTCAAGGCCAGCCTGGACTACAGAGCGAGTTCCAGGACAGCCAGGGCTTCATAGTGATGCCCCATCTAGAAAAAGCTAGTTACATGACCCTACTGTGGCCAGAGTCAGTGCTGATGTCCAATGCACCTATCACCATCGAAAGCCATGCAGACACTAGAGACTGAGGGCCATGCTGATATCTCAGGATCGTACCACCACTGGGGCAGTGGTGACATCCAGACCTAGCCACTGCTGATGATCATGTCAGGGTCCATGCTTCTACCATAGCTGAAGTCTGGGTCCTGCATTGCCACCAAAGCTCACATAGATAACCAATGTTAGTGCCACAACCTTTCCCACCTGAGTGGCCAGTCCCTCCACCCAGAGCCAGGATGTCTCCTGGGACCAAGCTGCTGCCAAGGCCATTTTTGAATCCATGAACCAGCTACAGGACAGGGTCTGTGTGGATGTCTGTGACCTGTGTCACCTCAGGAGGCCCTAGAAACTATACGAGGTTAAATCAGAGGGCCATACCGAGCAGGCCACACCCTTCGCTGGCCCTGGCAAGCTGTCCTTGCCTCTCTCTGGACACTACAGCAAAAAAGTTGGTCCCTGCACTATGAAGAGGTGGCCCCCACCCCTCACCACAGGCCAGAGTGAACCAAACCTGAGGGTTTGCATGTGGGGGGGGGAATGACTCCACCTACTTGCCTGAGGTGGGTGGCCCCAGGGGCCTGGACGGACCAGCTTGGCTACTATCCAGGCTCATAACCAGGCCTTGGGTTTACCCACCCTAACATCTACCCCACCTAGGAGCTGCTGGAGCTGGTGAAAGAACTGGTCCTGTGGAACGATACCCACAAGATGGCAGCCACAGGATAGCCCAGAGGAGTTCCGGTGAGGATCCAGTGATAGTGGTGTACCAGAAGCCAGAGGCCTTGAACCAGACCAGTGACTCATTGCAACAAACATGTGCCAGTAAAACTGGTGGGATGAGGAGGTACACTGTATGGCACAGTGAAGCTTCCATTGCCACCAGGACAAATGAAGAGGAGTTGGAGAGGCCCGAAAGGAGAGGCAGAGATTTTTCTGTTGTTGTGGATTTTGCTTTGTATTTGTTTTGTTTTTGTTTGTGTTTATTTTGTTTTTGTTTTACTTTGTTCACTTGCTTGCTTTGATTAGTTTCCTTATTGGGGGGGAGTGGCAGGGGTGAGAGGAGGATGGGATACTGGGAGGTGAATGGAATTGGGGTACATGATGTGAAATTCCCAAAAAGTCAATAAAGAAGTTATTTTAAACAAAAGAAAGTAAAAACTAAATAAATAAATAAAAGCCAACACAGTAAGTGCCCCACCCCCACATGCAGCAATCTATTCACAGGGCACTGGCATATCTGTAGGGTGGGCCAAATTCTCTTCACTGCACAGCTGGCAAGGATCCTTAGTAATGGGTAGGAATAAGGAGGTTTTTACAAAAACATAGGAAATGCCACAATTAAGAGTTTAATTTCCAAAGGAAATCAATTCCCAGAAGCCTCAAAAGTGAACCTGAGGGTACATTAAATAAAAGACTAAGAGTCATTGGCTAATAGAAATTCTAGGGGAACAGGAGGATTTGGGAATCTGGGACAGGAACCCAGAACAGTGGGTTGAGATTAGGGAGAAGCAAAGGGCTGTCGGCGTGGCTTATCTTCAAGTGCCACTTAAAGACCCAGCGATGAGAGGGTCACCTGCCACCTACCCCAGATAGCACAGGAGTCTAACCTAAAGGTTTGGTGTATCCTGAGGTATTCCTGAGGTGGAAAGCTGGGTTCCAGGTGCCTCCGAACTTAAAGAAGCCATGTCCCCCTTGGACTGTGTCTTCCTGTGGCTTTGCTACACTCTCAGCCTATGGCTACGGATGTATGCAATGAGTTAGTTAGCAATAGCTAACCATATAATGTGCACATCTGCTGCAAATGCTAACTTGACATTCCAACTTGACTAGTCCATGGGATGCTTGAACAGCTGATCAAACAATACCCTGTGTGTGTGTGTGTGTGTGTGTGTGTGTGTGTGTGTGTGTGTGTGCATAAAGGTGTATTTGAACAGGAATGAATCTGAATTAGTAGACTGGATAGAGCAGGTTGTCCTCAATATGGAGGGCATGCATCTAATCAGTGAAACAGCCAAACAGAGGGAAAGCTAGGCATGCAGAACCTGCAGCTGCCGACTTGTCAGCCTCTGTGATCATGTAAGACAAGTCTCTTATGCACACTCACACACATACATACATACATACATACACACACACACACACACACACACACGAATACACATATGTACACCCATACATGCACACACATACAAACATACACATACATATACACACACATAACACATGCATACATGCACACATATACACACACAGGTGCACACATATATGCACACATGTACACACATATAAACACATATATACACACATGCGTATATATACACACATGCACACACATACATAACATACATATACACACATACCTACATACATGCACAAACATAAATGCACACACATACACATGCACACTTATGTATACATACACATACATGCACATATACATACACACACGCACACATATGCACACACATAACATACATATACACACACATGCATACACATGAACACACACTATTGCATCTGTTTCTTGGGAGAACTCTATGGCACCTGTCTTGATGTTTGCAAAGTTATTTTCAGAGGGTACATGCACCAGAAGAGCTCTTTGCAAGCATGGTCATGGGGCTTTTTGAGTTTTCAGTGCTCAGCCACATTTCCACTTGGAGACGGTTACCTTCCCAGGCAGCTCCAGCTCTCGGCTGTTCCCTTCTGGTGGGCTGTATTCGCATGCTCAGCACCATTAGCTATCCAGTTGGCATTTCTCCTTCTGTTCCTTTTGTGATCTGTGCTTATGTTTTTCCACACATTTTATTTAGCTGGTGTCTGCCTGAGATTAGAAAAGTGTCTTCCAAAGGCCCATGTGATAAAGTCTTAGTTCCCAGCATGATGCTACTGGGGGGTGGGGGTATGTCACTTTAGAGATACATCCCAGTGGGAGAAGGTTAGACCTTTGGGAACATATCCTTGAAGGAGATATTAGGTAGCACAGTCCAGTCTCCCAAACAAGCCAGGTGCCCAAGGACTGAAACTCTGTGCCAAAAATAAGCCTTGTCTTTTTGTAAGCTAATTATCATAGGTGTTTTATCACGGTGATGGAAAACTGATGAAGTCACATTGTCTGGTAATCAGATCTGAAGCAATAATGTACTACACGCAGCAGATTTGGCAGGCGCAGTAGTTTTAATGAGATATTCTCCATATGCCCAAGCATCTGAATACTTGGTCTCCCGTCGGTGGCCCTGTTTGGTAGGTTAAGGAGCTGGAGGAAGTGACCTTGCTATAGAAAATGAGTCATTGTGGGCGGCCTTTGAGGTTTCAAAAGGCTTGAGCCATTCCCGGTTTGCTCTCTCTGCTTCCCGTTTGTACATTGAGTTGTGAGTCCTTAGCTCTCAGCTCCAGCTCCAGTTGCCAAGCCTGCCTGCTGTCACACTTGCCTGCCATGATGGTGGCACACTCTTATCCCTCTGGAGCTGTAAACCCAAAGAAGCCCTTCCTTCTCTAAGTGGCCTTGGTCATGGTGTTTTATCAGAGCAATGGAAAAGCAACTGACATAGGCTTTCTGAGAAACATCTGGAAGGAGAGAGGACAGCAGGGCAAAGCAGGCTCAGCCAAGTCCTCAGATTGCCTGGGCACCCTATCCAGGACAGCCTTGAAGAGCTGACCCAAGCATGCGTACTGCCACTAGAAGGAGCTGTAACCCTTGGACTACACCTTTCTTCAGCAGCAGCAGCTCCTGGAAAGATCCCTGGACAGTCAACACACAGTCAGTTGAGGAGGGATGGGTGCAGTCCTGGAGAGGGGGTGTGGGTGTGGGTGGCAATCAAGGCACTGTGATTTGCGTACTTGTTTGGAAGAGTTCTATACAATCATATTCATCTTCTGTCAAATGTGTCCATCTCAGCTTTAGGACCAGAGACAAAAGATGGTAGAACACTTCCCTGGGACGTGTGAGGCTGGTGCCACACCTAGCAACACACACACACACACACACACACACACACACACACACAGGATTCAGTTCAGCCTCATTTTAATGCTTATTGTCATGTTTTCCATCCTGAAGATGCTTTGGTAGTCGTTGTGGTATTTGCCTGTTTGTTTATACAGTTAGTTCTATCCACCGCCCTTCAAGCTTTGAGGTTCTGGCTCAAGATTACAAGTATTGCCCTGTACTTCTTTCTAATGCTCTGTGGCTTTCTATCTTGCATTTAATTAACTTGATAACGATCACAGTTTATTACTGCTGTAATTTTGTGGCCAGTGTTTTGCCAAATGCATAATGAGTTGTGCTAATATATTTTACTGGGTAATAGCCCTTTCCTAGCGTGATTTAATGTCACCCTTATTATTTAGGAAATCTCCTATGTGTATCCACATTTTAAGGCATGTGTTTCTGCCCCGCCTTCCCTGAGGTCATTTCAAGGCTATCCTGATCATTGAAACACACCAACGGTTCTTTAATAGCTACAGCAATTTACCAGACAATTTAACCAGGTTTTTTTCTAGAACTTTCTTTATGGGTCTAGATAAACCTTAAAGCCTTTTGTTTATGTTCTGTACAGAAGTCCTGGTGGGACACTGACTACAGTTCTGTCTGCCTGTGGCTGGAGGGAACAGAGTCCACACCACACCATTTTCATCCTGGAGACTTTCAGAGTTCTATGTTTTAATCACTGTTTTTACTATGATTCTATTCAGGTTTGTGCCATCTCCTTTAAAGAAACTTGAAAACGTTATATTCCTTCCTGCAGCAAGATCAAGAACATCCTCAGGAGAAGGTGATGTGTTCTTACATGACAGCCACAGCCTCTCGGCAGTCACTACTGAAGCCTCTGCAGCAAGGCATATTTTTCTGTGACAGGAAGAACTGTTTTAGGGTCTTTGGGGGTTTTCCAGCTGTGCCTGCCTGTCCTTTTACCACTTCTGGTTTTGTTCCATTTGACAGCCCTGAGCACTGTGCCTCAAGCCCACAACTCTGTCACTGCCGTCTGTCCTGGGTCTCTCGTTGGTTCTCAACTTGGTCTGCATCCTCTTTATGCCTTTGTAACTTTCCTTCCCTGAGGGAGGCCTTTGGCGCTATGCTGTAACAGCTACCCAGTAATTCCCACCAACTGTTTGCCCATGCAGGTTTCTCCACCTGATACGCTCCCCGATACTTCTGCACATTTTTACTGGGGATAACTATGTTTTTCAATTTAAATATTTTTCTCATCACATATTGTCTTTCATAGACTTACATTTCTCTGACATTTTCCTGAGATTCCAAATCTGGATTTTTGAATGATTTCTCCTTTTTCTTGGAGTCAGTCCATTTCCTGGAGGAACACTGGCCTTTATTACAAATGAAAACCGATATGGTGGATTTGTTGTCCTTTTTCAGTCTTGTCTGGTTTTTATAGTATTGGGGTTTTTTAAACTTTGCCTATACATCTTTAGAGGAGGCCCATGTAACCCTGGAAGGGGCCTTCATGGGAAGCTGGCTCCAAGGCAGCCTTCCCTGCAAAGATGGAAGAGTGGAGAGGTCAGAATTCATGGCACTCTGCTTTCCAGGCAACCTTCTGGGAAGGCCTGGGCAGTAGGAGTGGGCAGGAGTGGGATGCAGAGTGACAGGACCCATGCTGAGTGGCTTGTGTCCTGCATGTGCTAAGCTGAACAGACTGCCTGCAGGGGCCACCCAACCTGTCATACTTGGATGTCTGCTGCCAGAGGAATGACACCCTGAACTCTACCTCTAGAGCTATTTGCTCCCCCAACCCTGCCCCATGTAACTCATGCTTTCTTTGTGGCTTTTTCACTGTGTTGTATAATTCAGGTTCTCCTGCCTCATCTTTGTGGACACAGAGCAGACGTCTCCTAAGGCATGCTTCTGCTTCCTGTAGAAAGCTGTTTTAGTGATCTGCTCTTTGTCCGCGTCCTCCAGCTCACTTTGTTTTCTGGAGCTTCGGAATGATCCCAAGACAGCTTCGTTTTAATCTTTGCTCTTCTTAGAAAACAGGAAAGCTGTGTCTCCAAGCTTGGCATCTGCAGACAAGCACAGGAAGTAGATTGTCTTGGGTCACTCTTCACTTTCCCAGCGGGAGGTCAGCAGCCCCTTCCATCCACTGTCCAGAGGATTAATAGAACCCTTGGCCCCATGTTCTTCGAGCAGTCTCCCAGGTAGAACTGGTCATGGATCTCAGCAAGGTGACGGTGTCTCCTAGTGGTGCCAGACCCCACTAAGGTTCTGTAGCAAGTAAAATCTGCCTACCACTTCAGTCCCACTGCCTAATCCCCAACTCATGGGACAAAACTTCATGTGATGTGTTCGGAGACTGAGCTTTGAGATAGTGACTAGGGCATGAAGGTGGAGCCCCCGTGGAGGAGATCAGAACCCATACAAGGGAGGCCCCAGAGAGCTGCCTCCCCTCCTGCCGGGTAAAAACACACTGAAAAGTCTCATCTGTGGACAGAGTCTCACCAGACAGCAAATCTGCTGGTGCTTTGATCATGAACTTGTAGCCTCCAAAACTCAGAGATAAATCCCTATTGTTTATAAGCTACTGGTCTATGGAGTTTTGTTACAGCAGCCAAACAGACGGACATCTCCCAGTTCTCCTCCTGCTTTCCCTTTTTATAAATACAACTGTGTCGCCCTTCTGGAAAGCTGTTCGAGGCACCATGCTGAGGCCTCTGTATACATTATTCCTCTCCATCTTCATGGCAGCTCCACAGAGCGGAGTTAAGTGCTGGTGTTGTGAAGCTGATTTTATGGATGGCAAAACTGAGCTCAGACACGTGAGTGCCTTACCAGAGACCACACAGATGGTAAACACGAAATTCCATTCTATTAACAGCTATCGACCCTTTGTAAAAAGGGCGCCACAATTTGGGACACAGCATGCCCTTCACAGCGGCTTTTCTGCCTGAGAACAGATGGGCTAGCCAAGACTATGGTTGTAACATGTGATGGAAGATCAGAAGGAAGGCTTATTTTGGCTTGGTTTGAGGGCACAGTTCATCGCAGCAGGGAAAGTAGGGTAACAGGAACTCGGGGTGACTGGCCACACTGACTGAGGTCAGAAAACAGGGAAAATGCTCATGTTCCACCGGCTTTTTCCTTTTTTTCATTCTGGGACCCCAGTCCATCTCATTGTGCCTCCATATTCAAGGACAGTCTCCCACATCAGCTAACCCATTCTGGAAGCCCCTCCCCCATATCATGCTAGCAGTTGGTCTCTTATTTAATTCTAAATTCCATAGTCGACAACCAATGCTAACTACAAGTCCACCCCTTGTCAATACGATACGCAAATACATCACTTTAAAGCCATACACTTCTACCTTTTATCCCCACAAGCTCATGGGCATCTCATAATGCAAAATGCATCCAGTCCAACTTCAAAAGCCCCAGTTGTTCTTAACAGTCTCAACGCTGTTCAAATATGTAAGTGCAGTCCCTTCAGACATTCACTGAGGCAATTTCATAACTATGAGCCCCTAGAAAAGAATTAAAATCAATTATTTACTTCCAATATACAATTGCACAGAACATTACAGAAGCATAAATGGGAAAAGAGCAGAGGATGATGGGAGCAAAGCAAACACAGCGAACGCTAGCCCTGCAGCTTCATGTCCAGCAGTTAAGACTCATGACGGAATCATCTGGGACCCACAGGGTTTGAGTAGCCCTGACTCACCAGTTCTGCCACCTGCACACATAGCCCTCTCTTGGGCTAGCTCCGCGGCATGACTTCTTGGTGAATCTCTATAGTGGGAAATTACCAATACGGAGCCAAGTAGAAATATAAGGGTATTTAATAGGCAAAAGCCTTAGTTACAGAGTGACCTAGCCAGCCGGCGAGGCAGCAGTCTGTATGCAAGCTGAAAGGGTGAAAACTGAAAGCAAAACTCAGCCAACTAAACTCTTACTCTACATCACCCTGACCACGCCCTCGCAGGCGTGGTCAGGCAGGCCTGTAGCCAGCCCCTAAGCAGGCGTGGCTACAGGTTCCCCTACAAATCTATAGTCCAGGCTTCTCCAACATCCCGAGGTCTCCATTGCAACTTAAGTTTACCTTCAAAACATCATACAACGGTCTCCAAGGGCCTCCTTGCAGGAATCCAACCCTGCCACACACTGCTGGACTTATTAGCTCTCTGAAACCATCTTGCAGTCTCCCACTGCCCTCATTATTGTATCTTTCATGTATACAAAACCAGTAGCGTGTGAATGGCACTGCCAAGATCTGCTGCCAACTTGAAATATAGCCTGGCTCCTTGGACCAAAACTGTCGTGGCTTTTGTGTGCTTGTATGGCTGAATCTAAGAAAAAAAAAAAATCCTGGACAGTTGTTTGCAAGCAGGGAACACTTGGTGCCATTCTTAGTTCTGGTTCTCTCCTCTCAAATGGATTCACATTTTTATAAGCTGGAGTCTTATGTGTGTTATAATGTATTTCTTATAATGTATTTCTCGTATATCTCTACTCCACTTGTTGCTCTCTCACACTATAGACCTAAGACTGGTGCGCAATGACCATGCCATAGCCTATGTTCTATCTGTTTTGATATTTCCTCCATCAAGCAAATTATTACTTTGTAATTTAGCCTCGATCAAATTCTCAGGACATGCACAAAATGCAACCAAAAGAAAATCTTTTTGCCAACCTGTAACTCAAATGGCCCCTATCCCAATTCCAAATAAAATCCTTGTTTGCCTCTGAAAGTTCATGAGCTGGGCCACCATTGCCCACATTTCTCCCAGGGTTTGAATCTTCCAAACTCCCATCAGAACAACTTGCTAAGCTCTGCTTAAATATTCAAAGGTTAGTCTAGCCTAAAGTTCCAAACTTTTCCACGTTCTTTCCACAAACCAGTTCTAGAGGCCTAATAACCTCACAGCCCAGTTTATCATACCAACAACTCCACTGCTCAGTACTAGCTTTTCCTGCTGCTACGACAAAATGCCAACTCAAGGAAGAGTTTGTTTTGGCTCATAGCTTGAGGGTACACAGTCCATCCTAGCAGGGAAGACACAGCATTCGGCAGCTGGTCACAGTGCACCACAGTCAGGAAGTAAGGGAAGAAGAATGCTAAGGTATCTTTTGCTTTCTCTGTTTAACCCAGGCCAGGAATCCAATTCTGGGAAGGTACCAACCACTTTTAGAATGAGTCATTCTCCCTCAGCTGGTCCAACCTAGAAAGTCCCCCCACAGACATGCCTAGAAGTTTTTCTCTTAAATAATTCTAGATCTCCTCAAGTTTATAATCAATATTAACCTTCACAAATGGGATACTGTTTTTCCATGCCCTTATAAGGGAAAAAAAGACAGAAAGTAGCAAGAAGCAGTTTTATGAGTGCAAAAGAAATTCATAGTAATTTTTCCATGAGCTCTGATTACCTTCCTTTCCACTTCCCTTCCCAGTGGCCAGAGTTATTGTTTCTTGTTTACTTTTTTACTTTTTACTGTTCATGCATTCTCTCTTCCTTTAAGACCCGTATTGCCGAGCATTGGTGACACATGCCTTTCTTTAATCCCAGCACTTGGGAGGCAGAGGCAGGCGAATTTCTGTGAGTCCGAGACCAACCTGGTCTATAAGGGCTAGTTCCAGGACAGCCTCCAAAGCCACAGAGAAACCCTGTCTTAAAAGAAAAAAAAAATAGAAGACCCATATTTGTCTTCATACCCTCGACAGAAAAAGAACAAAACAAAATATTAAAACATTAAGAATAAACAATGATATTCCCACAACCCTCCTTCTTATAGTATAAAATTCTTCTAAGGGTAAAATTCTGGAATGGGGGAACATGGAGATATCTATTCGTCCTAAAAACCTGAACACATCAGCTGTTCATTCAGCCCCCACAAGTGCAGAAAGTAGGGTACCCACAGTGTTGGTCAGTATGGGCTTAAACATGATGCAGTAACAAATTGTCTCCAAATCTCTGTGGCTTAAAATAACAAGCTTATGTCTTCATCCGTTCTACATCCGTTCTATCTTATCACCATGCTCTGCTCCTCAGAGAGAACTCTGCCTTCCCAACGGCTGCTATTTCAAAGATTCCAGTCACTGGGCAAGACGATAGGAGCACTGGGGAGATCCTGGTGTCAGTTCAAAGCTCTCAAATGGTACTGTAGCAGCCTTTCCATTCACAATACACTTCCCAGCTGCAAATGGACTGAGAAGAACAGCCCTACTGAGTGCTTACTGAGAGGGATGTGACAAAACCCTCACAGTGGCAACGTTCAGCTACATCTGCCTGCTGCAGTCTGAGGTACCAAGACTCATGAGCTTCACAAGCAGTGCAGCCTCCCAGGTGGCTGTGTCTAGATTAGGAGCATGTCAGATACTTATATTACAATTCACAACAGTAGCAAAATTACAGTTGGGTGGTAGCAAAGAAATAAATTTATGGTTAGGGGTCACAGCAACATGAGGAACTGTACTGAAGGGCCACAGCTTTAGGAAGGTTGAGAACCACTGTTCTAGAAGATGTTAAGAGGGGAAACCATCTTGCTGTAGAGAAGGCCTCTTTCTTCCCTTGTGGTTTTAATTTTCCTTTCCCATTTTCTTAGGTTTGAAAGCTAACTTTTCTAGCTGAGTTTTACCTACCCCATAGAATTACATCTTGATTAAATGGCTAATGAACTCTGGGCAGAACCCAGCTAATGTCTTCTCCTTCCTGGAGAATGAAATCAGCATCCTTCCTGGACTGTCATCTGCACAGGGAAGATTTGCTGGCTGGCTGGCAATGGGACTTCCCCAGCTTGTTCTCTTTTCAATTAAGTGAAGGAGCCGAGCTTCATATCACTGAGACCTTTTGTTGCAAAATGTTGTAAGTGTAAATTATTAAGGAGAATCAGTTTCCACCGATGCTATGGCTAAAAAAAAATAATTCTGTCTTCTCAGCCAGCTCCTTATTCTGCCTGTGCTCTTATGAACAGGAACGTGTGTAAATATATATGTGTGTGTGTGTGTGTGTGTGTGTGTGTGTGTGTGTGTGTGGTTTGAAAGAAAATGGCCCCCAAAGGGAGTGGCACTATTAGAATGTAGCTTATTGAAGTAGGCGTGGCCTTGTTGGAGGAGGTGTGTCACTGTGGGGATGGGTTTTAAGGTCTCCTGTGCTCAAGCTTCCCTCAGTGTGACTCAGTCAACTTCTTGTTGTCTGCAGAAGTATCACTCTCTGCTCCAGCACCATGTCTCCCCGAATGCCGCCATGCTTCCCATCATCACGGTGATGGACTGAATCTCTGAAACTGTAAGCCACCCTAATTAAATGTTTTCTTTGTAAGTGTTGCCATGGTCATGGTGTCTCTTCACAGCAATAGAAACCCAAACCCATACAATGTGTGCATGTGTGTGTACATATGTGTGGGCATGTGTGTGTGTGCACGTATGTATTCTGAAGGCCCTTTCTAACTCAGGACCTTTTCCCTGGGTGAATACTGTCCCCTGTATACTGCCACAACCTCGAATGTCACCTTTAGAATTCCAGACAAACATATCCAGACTGCTGCCCCGCACCTCATCTGCCTTACCAATGACTATCTCAAATTAAATTGTCTCAGGTTGAGCATCTTCCCTTCTGCTCTCTTAAGGTCAGCAGCATTCTCAGGAAACAGCTGACTGTCTCCCTCTCCCTCTCGCTCCCCTCCCCTTCCCCTCCATCCCTCCTTTCCTCTCTCTCCTCCCCCTCCTTCATTCTCCCTCTCTCTCTCTCTCTCTCTCTCTCTCTCTCTCTCTCTCTCATTTTTCACATGAGATAATTATGATCCATTTTACCTCCAGAGGGTTCAACCTATTCTCCTCTCTGCCATCCCCAACACACAATGGCGCCATGATAGGTTTTCTGTAAGATAACTCCTCACTGACTTTTGTGCTTTGGCTCTCTCCCCTCTCCAGTCCTTCTAGTGCATATTTTAAAAATGAACATTTATTATTGTAAAAACCGAATTGAAGGTGGGCAATATGCCACACACTTATAATCCCAGCACTTGGGAGTCTAAGGCAGGAAAATGGCTCCAAGTTCAAGGCCAACTTTGTCTACACAGTGAGTTCAAAGCTAATCTGAATTTAAAAAGTGAAATATTGTATCAAAAAAGCAGCAAAAATGCATCATGCCATTTAAAAGATTTATGTATTTATTATGTATACAGCATTCTGTCTGCATATATGTCTGCAGGCCAGAAGAGGGCACCAGATCTCATTATAGATGGTTGTGAGCCACCATGTGGTTGCTGGGAATTGAACACATGTCCTCTGGAAGAGCAGCCAGTGCTCTTAACCACTGAGCCATCTCTCCAGCCCCAAATTGTGCCATTTTTATAAACTTCTTGCTAGAATCCTCTTCCATTTAAGATGAAGTTCCAAGTCCCGGCCAGCTCACACACTTTATCATATCCTCCGCCATTTTTCTCCTTGCTCACAGGACCCTTCCCTTGTCATGCGTCACTCTAGCCCATCCTGCCCCTCTGCCTCTTTGTCTGCCCTGCATCCTCCCAGATTCTTCAGCCAATGGTTGTTTCCTTACAGAGGCCGCTTCTGGCTACACACTGTCTCCTCGGGCCCCTTTCCAATGATCCTTTTACTTCTCCCCACATCATTTAAAACACCTTTGAAAAATCTTTACTATTAGTGGGCATGTGTGCGCACACAGGCATTCGAGCATGTGTAGAGGTCAGAGGACAACATGTTGAGTCAGTTCCCTACTCGTGCATTTCTGTGGGTTCCAAGCATTGAACTTGAGTTGCCAGGCTTGCCCAGCCGGTGACTTTACCCACTGAGCCATCTTGCCGGCACCACACTTTTAATTAACATTTATTTCCAAGATTAGCCACGCGGCTGTAAGTTGCACAAGGAAAACTATCAC